AAAAAAAAAGCCTTAGCTCAAATCCCAGCTTTAGCTTTTATTAGCTTTGCGAACCTTTAACTGGTTGCTTAACCTTTCTGAGCCTATATCTTCATTTATAAAACATAATAGCTACCTCATAAAGTTGCACATATATTCACATGACTACCCCTTGGTCTATTACAAAGGCAGGTATTAGCCCCTTTCCCCTTCAGCTATTACCAATATATTTAACCCTTCTCTTCCTACTCAGCTTCACATCTTTATCTCGAGCTTCCAATGGACAATCTATATTGAGTTTTATACATACAACACGTATCAGTGGAGATAAATTATATTTGTCCCAGGCTTCCTTCTAGGTGTTGGAGATTAAATCCCTGCTCTTGAAGAGCCTAAAGTCTGACCAGTAACATTTATACACCATGTTTTAGGAATTTGAAGGTGCTGCAAGTCTTAATTCAGTTTAAGAAGAGTCAGGGAAGGCTTTTAGGAAGTGGTGTGAGCTAAGCTTTAAGAATAAGTAAAGTGTTGGTTTCATCATGAGTGAGAAGGCAATTCTGCAGAAGAAAGAGCATAAGCAAAAGCATTGAGGCAATGAAACAGCAGTTCTGAATTCCTAGGAAATTTACAGAGAAGTAGGCAATACTGACAAGTGAGGCTGCAGTGATAGGCAAAAGACCCTGGAAAGGGTTATGTCCATGCTTAGAATCTTGACTTTGATCCTGTATATGCTCAAGGAAAGGAGCAGATGGTACAATTAACTTTCAAAACATTATGAAGAGGAAAGATACACAAGCAGTGAACACACACCTGAAAAGATACTCAGCCTTGTTACTTGTAAAAATCAGAAAAATGCAAATTAAGGTCTAATGAAATAGTATTTTAAAAGTTTATTTATTTATTTTGCAGTGCTGGGGATCTAAGCCAGGGCCTGGCACATACTAGCTAGATCCTTTGCCACTGAGTTACATCCCCAGCCTTTTAAATTTTGAGTCCCTAAATTGCCTGGGTTGGCCTCAAACTTGCAATCCTCCCACCTCAGCCTGCTGATGACCTAGGTTGTAGGTATGTGCCACCATGTCCACCTAAATAGTATTTTTATATTCACCAAATTAAGATAGTAGTAATCTAGTTGTTAGTAATAATCTGTTATCAGAGAATCCTTACTAGACGAGTCATCTCAGTAATTCCACCATTGTCACAGTTTGCAAATATCATCTTAGAAATTTCAGGTGTGTTTGTGCATTTCATTTTGTTAACTACTAGTCCTATGTCAAAAATTAACTAACACTGTGATTATGATTTAACCGTTTCAAAACAACAATTAACAACTATCATTTAAGGATTTAATAAAAGTTTCATATAGTCCAACAACTAAAAAGAAACCTAGAATGTTGCTGAGTTTCACAGTTGGACCCTGTTTGCTGTAAGGCTGGTGCATTTTACTAATGAAATAAAATGGTTACCAGCTAACCATGCAATAGCCATGTTTTAAGTTTGCTTGCAGCATTTTATGGGAAATATATCACTGTGATATTCACAAATTAAAATTTTACAGAGCTCTTAAGTTGTATCCTTTCCAGTCCCTAGAACCCCTCTACCTTACTTCATGAACATCTGACTCTGGAAGACTTCTGTGCCTTTTTTATGATAGTCACATGCTTTAAAATTGTATAGGATGCTTTTCCCTGGGAACAAAGGGTCCCTTGCATTGGTAGTAGCAGATGTAAAATAATATTTTTTAGAGAGGACATGTTAATGTTCCATAATTAATCTAGACAACTAGAGTAAAATCTTACTGAAAGAGAATTCGATTATGTTAATATAAGATATATAATTAGCTATAATATTAAATACCTAATATATTTGGGGAATAGTTAAGTAAATTTAAATTTTAAAAACTCACATGGAAATCCAAAATGTAGGCTTTCAGAGCACCTACTTAGCCTAAAAATTCATTGTAAGTTATTTGATGTCTTTACATGAAGGAAGTCAAAGGACACAGAAGAAGCCATATAAAGATGCAAGACAAAAACTATAAAATATTTCTATTTCTATTGTCAAAATGGGTTGAAAGACTCATGAGGTAAATACCATATTTCTGCTCTCTATACCTATTTCATAATCCAGAAATGGTCACACTTTCTACGTCTTCCTGATAGTCTAACTCTATTTTTGGCTCTGTTTCACTATTTCTACATAGATCACAGATTAATCTTTTCCTTTGATGCATGCAGAGCAGTCCAAAGGAAATAATGGGATTAATTCAACTTGTTTTAAAATGTTTAGACTTTTGAGAAAATATTGCTTTATCTCCACCCTAGTGTGGGGTCACGAATGAACATATTAGGAACATAGAGAATATCTCTGCTTTCTGCTTAACTTTAATAATTATGGTGCAATCACAATGTTCCCACATAGCTAAAACCTTCCAAGAAAAAAGCCAATATTTTAATATCTTCTTCAAACATGTCGCTATTTATTTTATCTTCTAATGAGATTTTTTTCCCCCCACTGAAGATTAGGGAGTGAAGGATGGGGAAAAGAGAGAAAAAGAAAACAAACTACTGTTTTATCGTCTCTCTCCATGATACACTAACTTCTTTTATTTTTTGAGTCCTTGATTAACTTATAAGTAATATATTTTATATACTATATGTTATCTGTAGTCACAAAAGGAGTGAAGAGATATAAATTGGGAATGACCTAAATAAGGAATATATCAGAATGGGAAATTGTTTAGGGGTCTTAATGAGAATTTATTTTGAAAACTAGAATAATCAAACTGGGTTGAAAATGAAATAAATTAGCTATAAGTAAGAAGCCTAATTTTCATGTGTGTCCTGAAATATCTCTGTGACATTTCAAAAGGAGAGCATCAATATTGCACAATTGTTGAAATGACTGTAATAATAATGGAATTTAAGAAAAATTCATATGGTACATTAAAAAAACATGTACATCAATATCCACTGGAATGTGATGATAATTTAATTAAAGCAAAGAACATGTTAACATATTTGGAGTTTTGGAAACTGACTTTTTTACACATAGGTAATGCGTTACATTTTGCTCATTCATTCAAACTATTGTGTGTTGACCATGAGTCAAGTAAATACAAGATACAATGAATACAAGTCCAAAAGCAGATACTTCCTATGAATGAATCTATACTTGAAATTACAAGTGTATTTTACTAGGAAATCCAAAGGTTAAATAAAAATATATATTTTCCAGAAGACAAGTATCACAATGAAATATTTAATGAAATTCATTTAATGAAGACAAGTATCATTCAATGAAATATTATCATGCAACTTTAGTATTTTCTAAAGAAATGGCTGGAAATTTAGTAAAATATTTATTTTATATTCAAACAATATATGACTGAAAAGAACCTTAGATATTTTTCAAATCCAGCAGTTTATAATTATAGGTAATATATCTATTAATGTAATGAATAATTCAGATTAGTTATCAAATTCTATTTAAATTAACTTATTAAAAATGATAAATTTTATACTTCTGAAGTCCATTATTAAATTCTGTTATTTTCTCTCAAGATTCAAAATATAAAACATAAAAAAATTTTAATGACAAAAAATTATATTTCTTAAACTTTTCTATAGAAATTCTTCAAGGAATGAATAGTATCTTCTCATTAAATTAGGATGATTTGGTATTTTCATCAGGATGACCAATCTTTTTGTAGATGTCATTATGTTTTTAGGAGGGCGTACTCATGAACAGGCAACCGATTGTCTGTGAGTCCACCTCGAAGGATCTGTGATATAAATTTAATATTTTATCATGTTATATATTTAGACTAGATTTAATATTGAATCCAACTGAACATGAATATACCACTGGTAAGGAAATGAAAGACACAGAATCTACATTTTTATAAGTTACATTTGGAAATATTTCTAATAATCTTAACCATAACATTTTCAGGTAAATTAGAACTTTTCTTAATTCATGAAATCAAAGTTTTAAAAAGGAGCTTTTTACAGCCTCCATAACATCTTAACATTTGTTTGCAATACTTCCTGGAGAAAATATTAAGTGAAAAGGGGAAAAAAATGACAGAGATGAAGGGAGATGCATATAACTGACACTTGCTTTGCCTTATTTCTGCTTTTTTGCATTAAGAAAGTTGCATATCACTTCTTTTCTAAAATAGAATATAATACATTGATAAGAGAATTTTGCTTTTTAATGCCTATTTCAGATTGACATTTTTAATGGTTACCAACTGATTTTCTAACATCCCATTTTACTATTGACAATATAAACATGTAAAATGTAATTTTATTTATTAATTTCATATTCTTTGGAGAATAATAAACTGTATAACAGATTTACTTAAAGTATCAAAAAAAACTCATTTCATTTAGTTCTCTGGTTTACTGAGTCATGCAGGCTACAATCCTAATCTGCAGGTTTTATGTATTTTTTTCTTTTGATTTTATTTTTATTAATAAGCAAAGAAAGATCTTTCATCCAGTTCTATTCATCTTCTCTGATAAATTCTTAAATTATGTATGATTAAAGCAGCTTTAAAGTTTTAAAATGATTACGAGTTGAAAATGCTTGTTACTATATTTTTAACTATATTACACTGTAAAACAGAATTCAGAATTAAGTGAAACCTCCTAAAATAAAAAAATTGGATGGCTTTATTAGAATAGTTACATATATATATAGCAAAGTTGAGCTTACTAGTTCTTTGACAATGTTTTTCCCCCAATAATAATGATGAATAATACTTTTAAATCCACAAATGTTTACTCCTTGCTCTTCCTCAACCTTAAATTATTTATAATTCCTGACACAATAAGATAAATAGTAATTTGCCCTAGGAAACAGAGGACCTCAAACATAAAATTTGTACAATGTAGGCATTCTTTGAGACAATCAAATTCTGACAGGAAAATAAACAGTGTTTTAAGTCATATTTACCTATGGCCCCATCATATGTATTTATAATGCCTCCTATTACAGCCAGTAATAGAATGAGAGCAAGAGAAATAGGAATAAGTGATTATCAATGTAATACTTTTAACTTATAAATATAGTATTTTATGCAAATCTATAGGCAAATGACACAGACATTACAATGAGGCTGATTTGATAAGGTCCTAATGACTATTCATGGAAGACAATGATTTTCCAACCTGCTGCTCAGATCAAAACAGCCAGGGCTCTGACCACCACTCACTTTAGACAAATTACTTTTATTTTTTAAAATTCTATATTGGGATTGTGCTCAACATTTCTGTTTGAAACTTCTGACCTAATTATTTACCTGATACATTTTTAGTGACTTGGATGAAATCGTCCTCATCCTCGTCACAGCTTTCACAGTTCAGTTGTTGGAGGACTGTTTCTGACTGGCTTTCAGCCTGATTGATATCTTTCTGCTTATTACTGAAGCTTCGAAGGGCAACAAGACGGTGATGTATTGCTGCATAAAGATATCTTGCATCTTTGGGACCAGCCTGAGAGAGGAAAAATTAAGATGTTATGAACAGAAACCACCTACTAACATTAATCACATTTTAAAGCCTTTTAATCTTTCACTATAAGTAAAGAAAGGATTGTAGGGCATAAATCTAGAATGTAAATAAGTTCTAACACTCCTATAAATTATGGGGCAAAGAAACAATCTTGCACCAAACTTCATCCTCAAGTGAATACTTTTGTATATCCTTTAAATTGAAAAAATAAAATTTTGTAATTTAAGATATTTCTATTTGAATTTAAGTGGGGTATAACCATTCTTTTGGAATTTTACAATACAAAAAATTGTAGTGTTGGAGAAAAAAGGCTTCTTTCTCCTTTCCATTACTTTGATTGACATTCTTCCAAGTAACGTAGCTTTATAGAGAAGCAAAGCTCTTTAGAGCAATTTATGCTTTTCACCATAAACATGTCAGAAGTTCTTGCTTTTCAATGCTATTTTTATGGTTGCTATTAATATAAAAATGATGGTAACAATAAGTACCATTGGTGTAACAATAACAACTATTCTGTTTTTATTCACTTCTTATAATGTGGGTTCATTATTTATACATCATCTATGATTATTCATCATTTATATTAGCAAAAACAAGTAGCACAGGTATTCAATATATATTCACTTCCTTTACAAACAAGGAAATAATGGCTCAGAAAGTAAAATGAGTTGTCTCAGTAACAGATACCCAGCAAATTGCTGGGTCTTGAATCTCAGGTTTTTGTCATTCAGATCAGCAGGATTAATGGAATAAATTATGGTATGCAACAACAGAATTCTTTCTTTCATCTACTAAAATAATTTTTGAAGAATAATGAACTATTTAATGGCATGAAAAATGCTCATTTGCATTAATAAATAAAATTACAGGTGATTATTTTCACAATCATTTTAGCTGTTTAATCTCAGTAGCTTTAAAAAAATGTAGTATTATTGTTACCTTCATTTTGCACATGAGTAAATCACTTTAAGGAAGACTAAAAAACTTGCCTGAAGGACACATAATACATACAATATGGTACATGTATATGTATACATACTTGTATTTTTCAGAGTTTGGAATATTTACATATATATAATTTGATACAGTAGTCCTGGGACCTAAGTCCAAATAGAATTCATTTATGTTTTCTATATACCTTATACATATAATCTAAAAGTAATTTTATACAATAGTTTTAGTTTGCCTGTGTTTGGACTGGGACCTGTCACATAAGATCAGGTATAGAATTTTCCACTTACAATAACATATTAGGGATTTTAGGCTCAATGCTTGGAGTATTTTGTATTTCAAATTTTTGAATCGGGAATGCTCAATCTATATAGTAGTCCACTAAAATATTAATAAGTACCATCTATGAAGGTGGAATAGTGAACAATTTCTCTTAGATTTCAGTTGCTTATCTCTAGTAAATATTTTAAAGTTTAAAAAGTCAGCATGGGTCTGATATTGAGGCTGGAAGTGTATTCATGGTTTAGTCCCAGTCTCAGTTTCTGGCACACTTCCTTACCCACTTATAATCAAGGGATCTGGACTGGCCAAGTATCAAGTATTCTCTCTCTAAATGGCAAAAAGGGTTTAAACATCATCTTATCCTAACATCTTTAAAACGCAATGTCAAGTGCCCTTTCTCATAGTTATTAAAACTTTTGGCTTTTTAATCACTGGACGCACACCAACATTTTTCTCCATTATACTATGGAGCCGATTTATTTGTTATTCTGTCTAAATTATCTGGCTACTCAGTCTCTTCTAGTTTTCTGGATCTCACCCTATGGGGGGAAACTCAGCCTTTTGGAGAGGGAAGGAAGAGGGGCTTTGTTCCTGGCAGCCCTCTTGGGTCTGGATCTTGTCTTTGAGAACAAGCATTCCTGCCTCCTGGGTGAGCTAAACTGTGCTCCCATTCTGTTACCTTGGAGATTTACTCATGTTCAGAATTGAAATTTGCTGCTGGATTTGTAACTTGCTAGTCCTGTGTTTTTCCATTTTATCACTGGCTCTTTTCCAGTGATCCCAAAGCTTTCTCCTTCTCAACTTGTAGTATAAGCCATCAGGCTTGAGATTCTGTGGACCTCCTCCTAGGAGCCATTCCTAACGATATAGTCACTTTGGTAAAAGACTGTTGACATAGTTGAAGTAGTAATCAGCAGAATGGATGGCATATATTATACAAATGTCATGGAATGGGTACCAATTGATTAGACCTTGGAGTAATTTCTGAATTCCATATACTATTTATTTATTTATTGGTACCGGGGATTGAACTTGGGACCTTGTACTTGTGAAGCAGGTGATGGGAACCACTGAGCTAAATCCCTGGCCCTACAATTTAGACCTTATATTAAACTATAAACAGCCATAATAAATGATTGGTTTCCTTGCCAATGATACAGATTATCCTAATAAAATGAAACAAATAGAAACTATAGAAATCTATTAGTATACTGTATTAGTAGGATAATCTTTCCATCGTGAAATTTGTCATTTACCTGAATTAAGAATACTTTGATGCAATAGTCTTCTAAATCGGTAGCTGTTATTCGTAAATTTTTGTGGTTTACTCTTTGGATCTTCATTTGAGCCCATAGTTTGCTATTGAGGATCAGCCTCAGACTGCCTTGATTGCGCATAACTGTAGCAGAAAAGTATTGAATATATCAGATTATAGTACTTGATTCCTTAGACTTCCAGGAAACTCACCATTTTAGTTTGCCAGACTATTTTTTCACTATTAAATTATAATTTGACTAGATTATAACTTAGCTTGCAAATTATATTTGGGCTTTATTATGTTGAAAGGTTTTTTTTTAGCTTAAATGCTACGTTATATTTTTAACTACAATATTTTTCAATGGCTAAGATTTCAGAAATCCTTTTAAGACCTACTAGTCTGAAGAATATTTATCCAAGAACTGTTTACAATAGAAAAAAACTGAAACAAAACGTTAAGTGTCAAAAATGGAATTAAATAAATAATAGTGAAGCCATTCAAGAGAATATTATGAGCCCCTTAAGACTACTGAAGGAAGACATTGATGTGGAAAGACGATCATAATAGACTATGTAAAAGAAAATTTAATAAGATTCCAAATGTAAAACAGTGAATCACAAGTTCTGCAATCTTTGTATACACGTGTATACAGAAAACAAGATTCACAAGAAGATATTTTGTTAACAGAGATTATTATCTCAGGAAGATAAGCTTTAGATGATTATTTTTTCTTTTTGACCCATACTTTCTGTTTTCTACAGTGAGTATATATTGTGTGCATAATAAGTTGTTTCAGAGTTTGGTTTGGGGTTTTTTGGGGAGGGGGGATTTCTTTTTGGCAGGCACTGGAATTAAACAAAAACAGAGAACAGCTAGTACTGCCTTGGTGATATTGCTTGAGTTATTTGGAAACCTGCTGTTCAGTTCTGGAACTGAAAACACTGTTCCTATTCTTTTAATCTGAATTCTACTCCTTACCTGTTTCTTGAGTTTGATATCTGAAACTCAATAAATAAATGTACTTAGATCCAGCTCCTGCATATAGTCTACCTTAGGCTTCGACCTGTCAAAAATGCCTGCCAAACCATTTACAGTACACAGCTCTGCCTGTTGTCGTTTTCAGTTTGTGATTCTGAATGGGCCCAGTGTGACCTTTTAGATGCCAAACCTCTTAGATCTTTCATTTTGACCCACTCCAGATTCTGATCATTACTTTGCCTACAGGATTCAAAGCCCCACACCTATTTCTCTGGATGCTGAGCCTTCATCCCACACCATATAGGGATGCCAATGATAAACTATAGGATGGATATTTTCTTTTTGAAAAAGTTCACTTTGCAAGATGATTTGCAACATATTCCTTCTACTAATACTGAGATTATTCTAGGTATGAGCTGGGCTTTGACACAGGTGCTTTATATAGTATCTCATTGAATTCTCGCAATTGTTCAAAAACTTGTGAACAACAATTATCCCCATTTTAAGTTGATGCAGCTAGGACTGAAAGAGGTTAGGTTACTTTTCCAATGTCACTGGTTAGTGGTGGAACCAGAACTGGAACCCATGCAATCTTACCGGAGAGTCTTCCTGAAATGAGAACCCCCTAGAATACATTGAAAATAATATTGCTTTCAACAGTCTGATTTATTGGTGTGTTTTGTAACACGTGTGCAAAAAGCATTATGTACCTATATTAGCAAATTTACCCTGAAAAATTACAGCTTACTTTACAAAATGATTCCTTACTTAGTCTTGACTGTAATGTCCCACAGTCACTGCTTGCTGTGTCATTCAGTCTCAAAGTTCCTCTGCCCCTTTCAATCCAGGATTGTGTTGCTTTGTTGAATATAAAAAGCTTGCAGTTGATCTAAATGACAATTTTTTAAAGTATCAAATGTACAGAAATTTTTTTCAAGGGCAAGTTATTTTCTGTGCTATAGCACTTACATCTGTTTGAACTTTTAACAATAACCTTGGTTAATGATTTATAAACCAGATTTTGAAATTTATTTAACTTTTAAAAGCATTCAATTTTTGAGTAGTTTAGACTTCAAAAAATAAAAAGACATACAAAGTGAAAAAGACTACCCTTCTTCCTCATCTTTCAATTTCTACCCCTGTAACAAGTAACCGCTGTTATATTTTATTTATCCTTCCAATATGTATACTCTTTTCTTTTTCTATACATGGTAGATTCCTACTTTTTCACTTAATGTGTTTGTGTACACTGACTTTTACATTAAACATAGTATGGTTTGTGCTACATAATTTTATTTGAAAGTGAGGGAATCATGGAGATATTTGCATGCTCAAAACTTGCAGACAGCACGAGAAGTTGGAAAACTATGATGTGATACCAGAGGATCCCCTCTTATAATTTTATGATTTTTAACAGTGGTTCTCAAATACTCCTATGCACAAGAATCATCTAGGCAGCCTGTTAAAAGCCCTAGCATTGCTACCAGTAAGACTGGAGCTTATCCAATGCAAGGATTATGCTTTGAGACACATTTATTTAGATTAAAATTATCCTTGGATCACGGAAGATAGGAACCAGAATGAAGAGAGTTTAGGAGAAAAGCATATGGAGAAAGGTAAAGGAAAATCTTTGACTCCTTGAAAAATTATGTTATGGTACCCTGATTGATTCCACTCAATACTCAAATGTGATACTGTAGAGAACATCTATGAAACCTGATTTATACAAAATTCTGAACATTTTAAAAGGAATAACATTTTTATCTTAAATTGAAAACAAGTCATGTTATAAACATCTAAAAATCTTCAGTGTAAGTAGAAGTTCATTGATAGTGTGATAATAACACTGATTTTAAAAGCAATTGTGGCAAATATAAAGTATAAGTCTGAAGTCATTTTAAGAGGTTCTGTGCAAGGGTTGTAAACCTGACAACCCACTTTCCTGCAAATTGCACGTACAAATGTAAGAAGATAATAACTAAATGGTTTAAGCTTTGTAAACTGCCAACATTTTATTTAAACAACTTAGTCTTCCTGAAAACTCTATTTCTGTCAGAATTTTTAAAGATGTTCCTTCTGATGGTAACTTTATTTTATATATGTAAGTGCTGCTAGAAAGAGCAATACATAACATACAGACCTTTAACACATTGTGTTCCGCTTCTTCTCCTGTTATAACATCAATTTTCTCCAGCAAGCATTTTTGTAATGGTTGGGAAGAGAAAGCAGCAGCTGATTCAATTAGAGATGCACTTTTAATAGACTCTGTTCCTAAGAGAAAATGGGGTGGGGGTGTATAAAAGGCCTCATTTCTCTGCTGTGAATGTTCTTTGTTGCCACTTTTAACATGAATGTCTTCTTATCTTGTATTTAAAGAGTCAAAATGCTTGAGTTTGGATAAAATCTAATTATTGAATACCCCATAACGTTAAATTAAAATGTTTGTAAAAACTTGTAATAACAGGTTGCTATATTTGTATGATTTAACTTTTACCAAAATTATTTAAATACTAGATTATTTTGCTTTTAATTTTGTAGATATTAAACACTGTCAAAGTACTTATATCAAATGTTTATAAATAAAAAGTCCTTACTTGAATTTGGAGAGTTGATAGGAAATTTCAGAATGGATTTAAATGTTGTTTCCTTGACATCTGTATCATTTTCAGGTTGAGGCTGGGTTACTTTTGCAGGGCCCTAGATAGGGAATAGACACATGATTCAATTTTATCTCTATATACTTGCAGTAAGCCAAAAGATAATTTTGTTGTTCTATTTCAACATTATACACAAATCCAGCTGCTATGTTTTTGTTCCCAGCTCCCTGTATGTTGATCAAGGAACTCTTCCCTATTGTTAGAGGGTCTTGGTTCTAATTGTAAAAAAAAAAAAAAATCATAATCTAGTTACCACTAGCCTATGTGGGTGAGATATAGTCCCAGGAATAATGAAAAAAGTACTCGTGGCTCAGAAGAAGATAATGACCATTCCGTGCTTCTACTAGGCAGGACCTAGGAAATGCAATCCATATATCCGTTTCAAATTATTGTAGTAGTCCCCAAAATTCACTCTTGCTATCCACTAATGGAGGGCAAAAAAGTTATCTTCAAACCCCACCAGATATGCCAGAAAACACCTATGTAGAAAGAATCCAAACTTGCCCTCCAAGACAATTTTTGCCAACAATTGCTTTTAAGGCTGCTTACTTAGGGCTGTATACATCTGATGTAATACAAGCCTGCGTGGAAAACAAAAAACAAAAAATACCCCACAACTAACTGCCATGGCATTTATGCACATGATAGGCAGAACTGGGACAAAATGCACAATGATACTTATATATTTTTGTTTATATCTTTTCCTTTATGAATTCAAGAGTCTTTTGCATTATTTAATCAGAGATTAAGATATCTGCTTAAGATTGGTAGAGATTATTATTATTTTCGTTCTAAGAAAATAGAAAATCAGCCTCTGAAATTTACTCTAAAAGCACATGGTCAACTAGAACTGCATCTTGGCACTTATATTTTAGAGCCAGTGGTTTACAAAATTATAGAGGAAAAATACAAACTATCTCCATAGTTCATGTTATCCCTTACTATATTGCTCATTGAAAGAGATGTGAAATTCAGGCCCTTTTATAAACCAAATTTAAAACCCTCATAGGAAATGTGCTCAAGTGCCTTCAAGCTAAGCCTCTGTGGTCCTGGCTGAAGCTCACTGGGATAGTTGTCTGTCTGTCTCCTCCGTATTAAAATTCGCTATAGTATGGTGTCTCCTTTACTTTTACATGACCACATACTCACATGGCTTTCAAACCTCACTTGATAACGGAACTTACCTACAGAGATTCTGACATAACTATCTTAGGGTGAGACTCAGGCATAAGAAATTCTTTAACAGTTCACCAGATGGTTCTAATATGCAGTGCATCATGAGACCAGTGTTTATGTACCAGGGGAACTCAATACATGTTTGGTGAATTGAGTTGAGTGTTCAAGTTGATCCTGTGAGGACTAGAAAGCATTTTAATTATGTCTGAAAATCTTACAGAAACTATAGCTAGTGTCAAACTTAAATGGCGCAGAATAAACATGTGTCAATATTGCATGGAATATCACCTCAGAGCTTCATACATTCTGGCTCAGGTCCAAAGATGAGAGCCAACAGCTCTAGGATTGGTGGAGCTAACTTCATTGGGAATGACAAAAATGTGCCTTCAAAGCTAAAAAGCTATGATATTATTTGTTGGAATTGAGAGGTAGCAGGAGGCAGATCTAGAATAAGCAAAGTTTTTTAAATGACTGATTTACATTAATAATCTTGAAATAAACTAACATTGTTTTATTTATTTTCTTTTTTGGTACCGGGGATCAAACTCGGGTCCTTGTGCTTATGAGGCAGGCACCAGAACCACTGAGCTAAATCCCTGGCTATTGGCCGTTTTATTAATCTGAGCCTCTACACATGGTTAAAGCTCTGCTGCTGCCTTCAGGTTCCTCGTGTAACTAGTAACTCTAAGATGAGCAGCTACCTTGGGCGTATTGCAACCATGATCCTGATCTGGGTAGGAGCTGAAGGAAGCATGGGGCTTCCTTGAGGGACCAGATGTAATCAAAGGCAAGTTGCTCCACAGCTTTCGCTTTGGTTTCACATTTCCTCACCTCTTAGATTATGCTGTTTTAGAAATCAGAGCTCTGTGCAAGTCTGAGAAGCAGCTGCCTCCTGCAGGGAAATGCTCAGAATTAAGTAAGGATAATAGTAATAGTAGTTAGGGGTTTTCACTTGGTAAGTATATTCCCCTAGGCAGACAAAGCACTGTGATTTTCCTCTTAAAGCCACCAAAATAAGTTATAATAATATTTTTTGATGTAAGGGCTTAAAGGATAGAGTTGTAATTAATTAGAATACATTGGTACATGATTGTGAATGCATCTTGTTATAAGATGTTATTAAACACTATATTAAAATGTCACTACCAGTGGAGCTTATCAAATTACTACAGATAGTGCTGGATTTCCTCAGGTACCTCTGATTTAACATGACTCAAAGAACTACTTAATATTTCACACCAGTAATAATGGTATAATTATGTGGTTCCCTTCCTTTCTGTGTTTCCCTTATTCTAACAAAATAGGACATTCTTCCCAGGAGAATCTTTGCAGTTAAAGAAAGAGAGTGTGCCTTTGAATACAGAAGTTTAAAAGTATGCTGCAGTTCAAGACTGCTTTTTATTAATTTGCCTTCAGAAGTTGAAGTGACAACTCTATCATAATAGAAATATTTACCAAAAGCTTACCAAAACTCTTTCTACCATGTTTTCTCCAAAAACAAAGTCAGAACTACAACTTTTACTGGAACACTTATCCTCATTTGGTTGACATCTGAGAAAAAGAAATAAGCATTTGCTGTTTTAGATATATGGATAAACCATTTTAAGCATTAGCAGTCAAAATAATCAAATGATTTAATAGATTCCTATGAAGCATAAACATCAACTGCTGCTTTTTTGTTTTTGTTTTGTTTTGTTTTTTGTTTTTTTCTGTCTAAAGTTAATGAGAAATGAAGAAACAATAAGGGAAGGTACTTCCAGAGATGATATTCAAAATATTTGCCAACTGTTACAGCACTGGCGTTGAGTCATACAAACCATTTTGTGCCTTTGTCTATACTGACTGTGTGATCACCTTGGAGGGCTGCCCCATTCTGGACTTCCTGCTTTTCCAGCAGTTTCTTCAATGGATTGTCAATCTTCTCCATCCCAAGTGGCTGGCGATGCTTTTAGCAATCAGAGAACATCAGGACAAAAGCAAAGCTGATCTCTCTCCTCAGTTATGCCTAAGTGTGCATTCATTTAATATTTCTAATGGTGGTTTTCATAATGAGAACCTTGAAAACATGCAACCTTTGTAGTGCATAGGGTTTTCCATTGTATCTCTAATATGAACAGTAGACCAGTGTAACTGATGGAGCCTACTCATGTAACTCACTTGTAGGTCCAAAGCTAGTCTTAATGTTCTCGCTGAGCAAACAGAGAATCAACAGAAATATTAATATTAATCACTAAGAAATATTAACTTTCAAAAAATTTGCCATGCCAAAGATGGAACCTAGAGTCTTTGTACTTGCCCTTTTAAGTTTGTATTTTGAGACAGGAACTGGCTAAATGTCCTGGTCAGGACTTGAAGTTTTGATCCTCCCATTTAGCTTCAGAAGTATTGGAATTACATGCACCATCATGTTTAGGTTAACATTTCATTTTGTAGATTTGCATTACTTTTATTTATGTCTACACAGCTTATGTCACCAAATAATAGATAAAAAATAGTATAGAAGGGGGAAAATGTCAGAGAAACAGAAGGAAAAACTAATCTACTAACCAGATCATTAATGCCTAACTAAAGCTTCATCATACCCTTTGAAACATTATAACCCAAGTCAATGAGACAGTAAAGCCAACCCAATACTAATATTATGATATCTGAAACATTAAAGATATTTTGAAAAGCACTTCAAGCTTATATTCTTATAAAATGTTTTTTCAAGACTAGCATGATGATACAGGCCTATAATCCCAGCATTCAGGAGAGTGAAGGAGGACTGTAGAGGGCACTCAGATAAACTGACAGCTCAACAGCTCAAGAACAGCTTGAGTAACACAGCAAGATGCTGCTCCACCTCTTCTGGATATCTTCCCAAAAGAGTTAAAGATATCCTACATGTATACCCATGTTTATAGCAGGATATCTCATGGATGGCCTACCTGCCTACCAAGAGACGGACAGATACAAAATGTGGTATATGTACATAATGGATTACTACTCATCTATAAAGAAGGATAAACTTGAGTCATATGTGGGAAAATGGATGCACCTTGTGAGCACAATGCTTAATAAATAAGTCAAATGCAGAAGGTTAAAGTCACATGCTTTTTCTTATATGAGAATCCCCAAACATAAATGATTTAAAGTGCAAAGTAAAAGATAGATGATAGAAAACAGGGAGGTAGCCTTTTAGGAAAGGGAAGGGGATCTGGGAATGGGAGGAGATAAAAGGGCGGGGAGGGAAAAAGGAAGTAAAAATGATTAAGATATAATATATATGTGTAACAGTTCCCCAAGATGAATATAATTATCATGTATTGCAAATGTATACTAATGAAAAGGGAACTTAAAAAGGAAAGTCCTTTCAAAAGGAATTCTTCTCAATTCCATATAGTACCAGAAAATTATTTCCCAAGAATGTTTATTATAATAATAATGTAAAGGAAAACAGTGTCAGAAAATTATTTTCGAAAAATGTTTATAATAATAAAATAAAGGAAAACATTTGTTTCCTTCTCATAAAGTTGGGCATCCTTAATTCGAAAATCTGAAATCTAAAACCTGAAGTTTTTTTTTCCTCATTGAGTTTATTGGTACATTTTAGGTATACAGTACAGTTACATTCATTATTGGAATCTTATACCCTTACATGACAAGTCTTGAAAAACCTGAAATTTTTTGAGCATTGACACAATATTACAAATGGAAAATTCTTAGCCTCATGTGACGAGTACCCCTCAAAAGGAACAAAGTTATTAAAAATATTGTGTAAAATTGCCTTTAGGCTGCGTGTCTAAGGTATGTATGAAATATAAATGAATTTTTAAAGATATGTTTCATTATGTATATTCAAATATTTTAAAAATTTGAAAACAATAAAAATCTGAAACAGTTCTAGTCCCAAATATTTTGCTTATGGAACATGGACTCTATAGTAACTTACCCTAGTAAAGTTGCACCTAAAAAATGTTGGACTGAGATTCTGGAAGTCGGTAAAGTTTCACTTAATAAATTGCAGTTGGCCACAGAAATCTGAAAAAGAAATCCACCAAAAAAGATCATTAGAACTACTTTACTATAGGAACAACAGACAAGGAAACAATAGTTATGTTGAAAGCTCACTATCAAGTATTGCCTGATCTTTTTATGTAAATTTTCTTATTTACTCCTCACAACTCCATATTCTGTATATTTCTTTGATCCACATATTACAGATGAATGAACTGACATAAAAAAGTTTAAATAATTTGCTTAAGTCGCACACAACAGAATGCAGCTACATTCAAACACAGGCCTATCTGATACCAGACTGTAGACTGTGCTATAATATTCAGAAATCATGTTGCCTTTTGAAACTTTTACCTTTTTAGCCAAATGAAGTTAATTCTTATTTCTTGTTTAGTTAGGCTGTTTAATCCCTGAAAATACCCTAATAGCTTTACCATCACAGCCACCTAATTTGAGAAGAAATTCATCTCACCGCAACATTTTCTACCAATCACTTAAATGAGCCATTCTGTCTTATATACATATGCACATTGCCTGTACTAATATGTAAGTGTAGAAGTAAGGAATTTTAGCACCAAAACGAGACCTATAAATTATCCAGTATTTTGTAGACACCTCTCTGCCCCCATCTTAGGAATGTGAAAAGATGTTCTAGGGGTTCAATTCATGTCTTTAAAAGCAAGTGGTATCTGTTTCCACTTAAGTTTTTCTTTCAATCAATAAAAATAAATTTTTGTATTTACTCTGTTATAACAGGAATTTGAAAGTTGACAAATATGTACCAGGAGAGCACATGGGTGGTTGGCAAAGATTGAAGTACATATTCATGATTTATCTCTCGGCCAAAATGTTAGTATTTATCCTATGTTGCTTAAAATAGTTGTGTAGGTATTTATTATTTAATGTATCCACAATGAGTGATCACTGATTAATAACAGGGTGAATAATAACACCTGTTATTCATATACATTAATAAGAAACACAAAAATAATGATTAAAAATTTGGGGATAATTTTCACTAGTGGCAAATTACATTCATTTGGTAAAAATTCTTGCATAGAATTTTATCCATCGTGTCTATAGATCTTTGAATAATTTTCATAAATCTGAAAATTCAATAATGAGACTAGCCAGTTGGGCTATTCAGTATTCAGGAATAATGTCTACTCATTACTCAAGAGGAAATGTTTGTAAACAAGTGTCATTTAGGCAACAAATGCAAGAAGCATATTAATAAATTTTGTTTTAAAAGTATGCAATTAAAAATTTATAAAAATCATGCCAAGAAAGAAACATTGATCTAATTTTAATGTAAAAATATATAATCAAAATTTTGATACAATTCCAAATAAAGTGCAGTATAATATTTTTAATATTAGTCAAATTATCATACTTTTTCTTATATAATTTAAAATAAATTAACATACACCTTGCTCTAGACACAAGTAATAACACGTAACATGGTTATAATTTTAAAATTCTATTTTAATTCAAACTTTTACTATTATATTGATCAAAATTAAAAATAGATTCTACTTAAAAACTACTTATGTAATATGCATAATTGATAAAATGATTTTTAAAAATCATAATGATTTCATTAAATTATAGCATACAAAGAAAAGGGTTTGGAAATATAAGTGTTGGTAAATGCTGGCCAGATTCTACTCCCTCATTTTACTGACAAAAAGAGACTGCTAGGTGCTTTGGATAAATATAGGCAGTTATAGAGGCAGAACTATTTCATTCTGACTTTTAAAAATTGAATCAAAGAGGCTGATAGGTTTTTTATTTTTATTGTCTTCATGTTCAGAACAGGGAAAACGAAATGAAACCAGGTGATCAACCCTCAGTAGTTTGGCAGAAAACGAATGGCTGATGGAATAACAACTCCAATTCCAACTACAGCACCTATCTTGTGCCTCGCTCCTCCTAAATGTCTTTCTGCTGGAAGACACAGCTAGAGCTGTAGCAATGAATGATCCCTGGACCCATATGGGCAACACCTGAGCAAAATGAGTATCTGCTTAGAAAGGTTTGGGGTGAACGATCCAGACACTTTAGTAATTAGTAGAGAGAATTCTTGTCCGGCTTTAGAGGCTGCCCAGGCACTCCCAGTTACACCGTGTAGAGTGGGCATTCCCTGCCCATGTCTAGGAACATGGGTCTGGAGTGGAGCTCCGGTGTGATCTAAACGGGCAAAGCCACACTACAATGTTCAACGGCTGGGAGGCAGAATGTCCCCCCTCCCTTATTTGATTACTGATTCTTGCCCCTTCCTCATTGCTTCCTTAATTTTCTTATGGGGACAATAACCTGGAATAAGTCTCAGAGGTTTTCACTGCCCAGTATTCTCAGGTTTGCCACTTGGGACTGACCACAAGATTTATTCCAGGGAGCAATTCTTTTTTTCTTTTCTTTTCTTTTCTTTTTTTTTTCCTGTTATTGGGGATTGAACCTAGGGCCCTAACATTGAGCTACATCCCTGGTCCTTTAGTTGAGAGAAAGTCTCCTTAAATCATTACTTTGCCCAGGATCCATTTGAACTTGTCATCCTCCTGCCTTAGCTTCCCAGAGTGCAACAACTGTCATTTAAAAGGAGAAATTTAGCAAGATTAGCAAGAGTTTTTTGCTATCTAGTCTAGGTATTTTCAACTGTGGCAATTGCTTAAATCTCAAGTAGCCCCTAATATTGGAAGTGGGGGACCCAAAACAACCTTCCATGAAAAAGACGAGCGATTGGAGTCAGTCGTACTGTAGGGGTTTTTCTCACCGTATGATTTGTTTTTTCTTTAATCTTGCAGGATTCTGATGCATTGTGCCAAAATGTTTTTCTTACATTTTCACAGCTTTGAGCTTGAGGTGGCTGCAAAACAGCAGGTCTTAGAACACATTCAGAGTGTTTAATGGGACCTTAAAAGGAGAGAATAAAAGAGTCAATGTATTTTTAGTACAATGATCTTTTCTCCCTACTTTAGACTAATATCATGCTATTTTCTAGGATCATGATTAAATGAGGGACATCTAATCAAATTGCCAACCACTCCCTCCCTGTCTAGCTTTTTCCCTTTAAGTTTTTATTTTGACCACAGATCCTGGCTTATAAATGTTTTTATCATTCATGTTATATCATTCTGCCCTACCTCCATATAACCAAAACATACATATATGCAGATTAAAATGCAAAATTTCTGAGGTTCTTGAAAAAGAAGCTACATACCTTGTTCTGCACTGTTCATATCAACATTCTTCTGTATGAGAGTTGATGTCATAAAAACATTGGTTTTTTTTACTGCAAGAAAAAAAATTTAAATCAGTGAGTGTTAATTTCTAATTTAGTGGAGGTTAAAAAGTACTGTTTTGAACTCACCAGTAGATGTCACTATTGGCATTAACAGTAAAAGGAGTGCCCCCTACTGGGTTGCTTCGGGTAAAAGTGGGACTTCCAGATTTTTGCTACATTATACTGTTTACTCTCAGAAATCTAAATGAAAATTAAGTCACAGAGAGAAAAAGTAGTCTTCTTTACAATCATGAACTAATATGCTATAAGAAACTGCAGACTACAAAATCTGAATTGGTAATGCACCTGTGTGCATTAATGCAAAACTTTTATAGAATGTTGTAAAACTATTAGCAAATTCTGCCCTTTAATGACTATACCTGAAAGAAAAAGTAAAGACAATCATTACACTAAATTGTTTTTCTGTAAGTATGTTGGTGGGATAAGAGTGGGGGTGGCTGCAAGCATAAAATTTCTATACATTTCTACAAATTACAGAAACAGCAACTGGCTAATGGAGATGACAAAAGAATAAGAATTGCTTCTTCAAAGTATTATAATATACTACAAATGTTGAGATAGCTTTCTCAAATTAAAATTTAATTTAATGACTTTCTGATCTTTATCAATGAAAACCAAAAATAAATAATCCATATAAAATGATACTGTTTTTCTCATTTCCATCAACATTCTGCACTACCTAAAATGTAATAGTGCTTACTGATGTCATTGTTCCTTTATTCTCTTTTTGTGTGTCTGGTTTTAGAAAATGAACTGAAACGAATTGAAGCAGCTCTATCGATAACTTGAAGCCATCACTTTGCTTTATGCACAAATACAATAAAACAACATTTTTCTTCTACGATTAAGCTATTTTTCCTAATGTCTATGGCTTGCTAGTAGGTTTAGAAGGGGGCTATTGACGAGGAAGGAATCTGAAGTATCTGAAAAAGTGCCTGGCATAAGGTTGTTCACTTATGCCTGTACTTATTAATTAAGAATATGGCTCCATTCATTTGCAAATTCTAGTTCCCAGGTAGGGTAGAGGAGGAATGGTTAAAAAGAAGTGAATAGTTTGATTTTTTAGTAGCAAATTTAATTTGGGAAAAGCATTTTGTAGTTTAGTAGAAACCAAAACAAGAATTAAAATTATCTTTAATAAGAAGAAAGTGCCAGTCATTTCTAATTTTTTGTGTGATTAATAGTTTTACTTTAAAACATTATAAATTCCAAATAAAGAGAAGTAGTGTCTTAATTAGTGAAAATCTCTAAAGGAATCACATTCTAGACCTTAAAATATAAGTCTAAGGCATGGATATATATTTCAAGTACTATATAATCTATATAATGAACTATAAATAAAATAAGTTGCTTTAATTTTATAGTCCTGTCATATAAAATAATGTTTTCATAAATATGAAATCCTGAAAAAGTCAAGCTCAAACTTTCTCTCAACAAAACAAAACATGTACTATCTGGATTTGTAGTTAATATTCATCAAATATAGTTCCCCACATACTTTGCCAAAGCCTCCATTTGATTTGTTGCTAATATTAACATTTTATGACAACCTGAGAACATAAACTTATTATTTATATGTATGATTTTGAAAAGCAGAGTGTCAGGCTTGAGGTTCTACAAACTCTTTCCTTATTACCTGGCCCAGAAGGGGGAAAGGTTGGGAGGTCAGTGAAGGACGAGGATCTCAGGCGCTTCTGAGACAAGGCTGACACTAAAACCAGATTGCAAACTCGAATTAATAAGGAAGTGATGGGAGTGTTTCTTTTGATTTGCGTTTTTGCTGTTTGGGAAAAACTCTAGATCACCAATTTAGAAAAATCCTTATTTTTTACCAAGAAAAATGAATGAAAAGTGCCTCTGGTGAAGATTATAAAATAATTTCCTTTCCATTCACTAAATATTTCTCCTTTCCTCACCATGTATGACACTCTATCAGGCATGAAGATGTCCTCAAGGAAATCACAATAGAGATAGACATACATACGAATAGTTGTACTATAAGGCTGAAGGGAATGCAACCAATTCCTCAGGGTAACAGTAAAATGCTTTGATAGAGATGAGAGACAAACTAAGTTACTGACTCACAATACAGTATATGAAAAAGTTATTTTTAAAGAATAGCTATTAATTTATTTAAATAGATGGTATCTTTTTAAATGGCCATTTCCCCCAATTGAGCTAATACATGCTCAATATGGAAACATTGGAAACACAACAAAATATAAAGCCAGGGGAAAGAGGGAAGCAAAGCAATTGGAATTCTGTTACCACACCTAAAATAACGACTGTCAACATTGTGGCTTATGTCCTTTCAGTACTCTTTTTTCAATGCTGATAAATTGAATTCTTAAATACAGACTCACTATACAATCCACATTATAGCTTATTTTCATATTAAAACATAAACATTGTCCATTGGGTAGCTTTGGACAGTACCCTTTCAGAAAATTTCTTAGTAATTTCACATTCAGAATAAACACAGCAATGAACAACCAACAGTCAGGGTTAGACCTACCTCGGCGGAACCCAGAATCTGTATGATGAAGAGTAAAAGATGAAGATCGCACACGTTTTCTTGAGAAACCATTACATTCTGCAAGAAATTCAAGGGAAGAGGTAAAATCACTTGCAAGAATTATCCTCAGCCTATGGTATAATAGGATAAATAGGACTTCCTTTTGTCTACATAGGTCACCATTTGCAACATGTTAACCTTTGAAGCTCGGTTTTAAATACTAGGGTTGATAGGTTGCCAGTTATAAACCTATAGTCATATTAGTATAAAACAGTCAGAAATGAATGGCTTCAGCAGAAAATTCTTAGGATCTACAGAAAATATTTTGGGGCCGTTAAGAGACAAACAGTGGAGAATTGTGGACTTTTACTCATTTGCAACAGCATTTTCGAGGACCTGCATGTCATCTTTCAAAACAAAGGCCAATCTATATGCACATATAAAAAAAAGAAACACATCTAGTTTTACAGAGTCTGCCACATGCCAAAACGCTAGTGCCTGCTTGTTTTTCTTCGTATAAAGACTGAAGTTGCAGTACAGACTGTGACTCATTACCATGTTCTGCTTCGTGAAGGATATCTTCCACAGGTCTCTGAAAGGACACAAAGCTGCCAGTGAGAGTTGGGCATTTGCTGGTTTCGCATCAGACTTCCACCTGCCACTTTATAACACAGTTTTCAAAAACCAGAGCTATTCAGCCTTGCCTGGACAAAACAACTCATCTTTATTCACCAGGCATGTAGTCAAATACAAACAAATCAAGTACAGTACTTTTGTATTTCAGTCACTATAGAGTCACTTGTGGAACTGTATTTAAAATGCAGATTTTGGAGCCATCCACTGCCAAGATTCTGAAGTGGCTACTCTGGAGTTAGAATCTGCTTTTTGTTTAACAAGATTTAGAGGTTGAGTTTTCCTTTGTTTTGGTTTGTTTTGTGGGTACTGAGGTAAATGATCAACATAAGCAAGAATGAATACCAAGATAACAATAACAAGTTTATATGATAATGCTGTTAATTTTGTGTATCTTACAAAGATCATTTCTGTGTGATGCTCAAAAAGCAAACAGAGTCCATAAGATCTCTTTTAAACAAATGTCACAATTTAGAGTTTATTTTATAGCCAATTTTAGGCTAGGTCACTGGTGGGGATCCATGAGGAAGCTTATCCTTCCTACTCTCTTTCAGCCCCCTCCCCTTTTCAAGTCACTCCAAATAAATATGATCTTTTAATAAAAGAAGCATGTTATTGATAGCTTCCAGACCAGGTCTCCGACTTCGCATTTCAGCCAAAATGACCTCTGTAAGTGCTAGCACAATTAACGATGTGGAGGCTCTGCTTTGATAATGACGAACAACAGGCTAAACCTAGCCAGCAGGCATACCTTAGTAGAGCCAGCTTCTTGAAATATAATTTTCTTTGTCAAGGTGAAATCAAAGAAAACAAGCTAAAAGCAAAGAAAAGCAGTTTGACCTTACCTTAAAAGTTTGTTCTCCCTTTTCAAAAATAAATGTTGGCTGAGCAATGACAGATTTTTCTATAAAAAGTTAAAGAACAGGCAAGAAATCAAAATGTACACTGGCATCTCTACAAATATTTGAAGAACTTTCCTTTTGTATTTTCTTTCCCTCTGGGTAAAATCCTAACTACTTTATATGGATACCATTAAATTATATATTTATTAAAAATTTAGCAATTAATGACAGGAGTAATATTGAGGTAAATGATACTGGTATGCTTCCATAAATAGGTAATCTCATTAGAAGAACACACTTCAGCTGTCTAAGGAAAACAAAAATGCCTGCATTTAGAACTTCACCAAGATATAGCCACTAACATCATTACTTTAGGAATAAAATGTTTCAATGAGTAAAAAATCTCAGCTGGGTGTAGTTCTACTTGGGGTTGTATCATAAGCTATAATGGCATAGATATGCTACCTCCCATCCATAAAGTAATCCAAATGAATTCACATTCCTTCAGTAGAGTAGTCATTTCTAAACTATATTTGCAGTATATATTTACATTAAGGATCTATTTCTTTCTTTATTTCTCATTGAGTTTATTGGTACATTTTAGGTATACAATACAGTTGCATTCATCATTGGAATCTTGTACCTTCATATGACAGGTCTTGGTTCTCATTTTTCCCCCTTGTCCCTACCCTCCCTTCACCCCCTCCTACCTTCCCCATTTACAAACATTTTATTTCCATTTTATCATTTTCTCATATTTTTTCTTTTCCCTTATTACCTTTCCCCTACCCTTTCTACTTTCCCTACACCTTTAGCCATTTTCTTCCTATTTCACACTGTCAATTATCTCATTAGGATCTTATGTACTATTATAGTTTTTCACGCCAGAGAAACTACTCAGTATTTACAAGTGTGACTTATTTATTTCACTTACTAGTATATCCTCAACATGTATACATTTTCCTATGAATGAATCTAATTTCTCATTCTTTATGGCTGAGTAGTATTCCATTTTATAGAAAAACCACATCTTCTTTATCCAGTTTCCGACTGATGGGCAAATGGGCTGTTTCCAAGTTTTAGTTATTGCAAACTGCGCTGCTATAAACATAGGTGCCCATATATCATTGAGATATAATTCTTTTAATTCTTTTGGAAAGATACCCAGCAGAGGGATGGCTGGGTCAAATGGAACCTCTAGTCCCAGCTCTTTGATGTATTGCCATATTGATTTCCATAGTGGTTACACCAGTCTGCACTCCCACCAACAATGGAGAAGGGTTCCTTTCTCCCACAACCCCGCCAACATTTGTTATTCTTTGATTTCTTGATAGCAGCCATTCTTTGTGGGGTGAGGTGGAATCTCAGTGTTGTTTTCATCTGCATCTCTCGAATAACCAGTGATGTGGAACATTTTTTCATATATTTACTTGCTGCTTTTACTTTTTTGTCTGAGAAATGTCTGTTCATTTCAGATGTCCACTTATGAATTGGGTCTTTATATTTGAGTGGGCTGATTGTTTTGAGTTCTTTATATAGTCTAGAGAAGAGTCCTTTGTCTGAGGAGCAGCTGGTAAAAATATTTTCCCACATTGTAGGTTGTCTTTTAGTTCTGTTGATGGTTTCTTTTGCAGTGCAGAAGCTTTTTTTTATTCTTGCAAGGTAGGCAGCAGAACTGATGAGCTAAATCCCCAGCCCTACTTTTTAATAAGATGAGATTCCAGTTGTTGATTCTTTGTTCTAGTTCTGTGCTACTGAGGATTTGTTCATAAAGTCTTTTCCTATGCCAATGTCTTCAAGAGTTCGGCCTAACTTATCTTCCAGCAAGTTAATTTTTTTTTAATATTTAGATCCTTAATCTACTTAAATTTTAGTTAAGTGCATGGTGAAAGATAAGGGTCTAATTTTAATCTTTGACAGGTTGAAATCCAGTTTTTCCAACACCATTTATTAAAGAGACTATCTCGCCTCCACTGAGGATGGTTGGCTCCTTTGTCAAAGATGAGGTACCTGAGTATATTGGGAATTGTTTTTGTATCTTCCAATCTGTTCTACTGATCCCAGGCCTGTTTCTTTGCCAGTACCATGCTGTTTTTATCAAGTAGCTTTGTAGTATAGCTTCAAATTGGGAATTGTTATACCTGCTGCCATGTCTCTATCTTAACACAATGTTGTAAAGTACACAAAGTTTTTCTTCATAATGCCGTATGGCTTGGTCAAAGACCTCAATCTGGACCCAGACTATCTGGATTCATTGTTTGCCCACCATCAGTAGTAGGAGAAAAGCCCATAGAAATGGAAAAATGAGTTTATTCACAGTTTAGCTAAACTGTGTTTGACCCCTCTTGAAGGTACAGGACTACTCCAGTTTAGATATGGGGTAGAATAAGAGCCAGGAAGTGTGCTGACTTGGATTTAGCCAGGTTTTGGCTCACCAGAGGTGCCCAGGAATTTGAATCCTTCTTGGCACCAGGGTAGCAGGTGGTAGTTTCCACTTTCAATATGAAGAACAAGCAGGAGAAAACAGTTTGTCTTTTTTTTTTAATGCTAATTTTTAGGGATCTATTTTAACCTCTCAGTTACTTTCAGTCCTTCCAATCTTACTAATATTTTGTATTTTCCTATTATAGTTAAGATACTAGGCAGAAATTCATTAATTTTATTGTAAATATAACATCTTTAAATATCAGCATTCTACAATTCTTAGGGAATATTATATGGGGGTTAAAACTCAAGCTCAAGATGTGTTCAAGAGTAAGTTCTATCATTATTGTCCAAAAATTTTGGGAAACTTAATATGTCTGTACTTTGATTTAATCTGAACACAAATAAAACATGTAACAGTACTTTAATAGAGTTTATGTGAAGATTAAATGAGATTTTTAGATTGTAAATACTTAGACTTTAATATGACAAAGAAAAGCCTTAAAGATAGAAAAATGAATATTTGACACACCACTAGTCCACCATTCCATATACAGTAAGGGGTATTTTTGGTTTGTTTGTTTGTTTTTGCACTGCTGGAGATTGAGCCCAGTGTCTTATACATAATAGGCCAGTACTCTTCCATTGAGCGACATTCCCAACCCCTGATTCCAATCCTAAAACTCATACCTGACCTCACTAAATGATGACAACACACAGATTCTTAATGAGTCCAAATACAACCTCGTAGCTTTTCTCATCATAGCAACCACTGCCAACATGTTATTTTGACATTCTTGGAGGTAATTTGCCAACCATGAGAAAAATAAATAAAGCTCTAGCTGAGGACTTTCTAGAAACCACCAGAAAATTACATCCGTCATACACAGAAAGAAGTTTCCCCTTTCCCTACAATCTTATTCTATAAACAAGTGTTATAAACTCTTCCAGATCACCCTCTGTGACTCTCTAGGAATCATATGAACTTGAGTACCTTCTTCCAGTTCAGTGAAATAAATAAGCTGCTCAGTTCTTACTCAAGTGCTTCTTGTGCTATCTGCTTTTGGAGCCTGTAAGCCTCATTAAAAAATTCCCAATTACATATTGGCATTCCCACCCATATGAATAATTCTCTGTTCTTTCTCAGAACTAACTCCTTCTCTAGCAATTACATTAGATTTAAGCAATGAGATTCCTAGTGGAGTAGAACGAAAACCAGTAAACATGCTTATATAGGAAATAGATTCTGTGAATGTGTAATGTATTATTTCTGAATTGGAATTATTAATGAAGTTTTAATGAACTTGGCTTAAGATAGTCACTCAAAATCGTAAGGACAAATACTATGTTGACTTTTGTTCTGTCAAAACATAGAACTAAAATATACAGAAATGACCTTCAGTGGCCGCATTAAGGGAGAAATCATTAAGGCTGCTTGTAGCCTGGATGGTGTATATAGTAATCTAAGAAGACCACAGTTTTGTTAATTTAACGAACATCTACTGAGCATGTGTGTGTGTGTGTGTGTGTGTGTGCACGCGCGTGCACATGCTGTGCTAGGGTGTAGTATTACATGGTCTAATTGAAGGAATATTAATGTCAGTGCAGCCATATTCTCTCGACCCTTCTCAACACATTGCCCGGTTAGAAAGCAGAATATTTCCATACTTCCTCTTTAACCCAGATTCTGTCCCCTTCTTAGCAATTCTCTTGGCTCCAAAGAAGAGTCAAAACAAATATTTTTAAACCTGTGGATCCATAGCAGACTTCTTAGCTGACCCATTAGCAGAATTTGAAAATTTTAAAAAGTTCTCAAAATAGTATTTTTAAATTTAGCCTGTTTTCTTTCTAATGATGCTATTGATCAATTTGTTCAACAGATATTTATTGAAGGGTAACCACTATGTACAAGACATTTTTAAGGTATTATGAAGAAAGCTATAAAGAAAAGAGTCATATCTCTGGCTTCATCCCACTGTTACTGCAGAGTGGAAACAAAACAAAACTATTAATTACAAAATTATTTAAATCCATCTGGGAAAGGGGTTACAAAAGAGAAGTACCAGGTTCTCAGCAAGTGACAAGCAGGGATACATGTCTAGTTTGGGGGTCATGGTAGTATTCCCAGGAGTAGTGATATTTAGGATTGTAGAGTGAGTAGAATGAGCCAGGCAGTCATGAGCAGAAAGGCATCCCAACCAGAGGGAGAAGCAAAAGAAATGTCTCTGAGGAAGGATGGAGCTTGGTAGATTCCAACAGTGGTAGGGTCCAGTGTGACTGGTCCTCCAACAAAGGAGAGGACAAGTGCTAGAAATAGGGCCAAAGATGAAGCTGGAGATTTGTAAGGACTTGAAAGTTCTGCCAAGTTTCATTTTATCAAGAAAAATGAGAAACCAATGAGGGAGTATTTACTCTAATATACATTTTTAAAAAAGAAGACCATTCTGCCTGCTGTGGAGAAAATGAATCAGAGGAACAGACTAAAACAGAGGAAATAAGGTTGGGGCCCTAGTCCTACTGACTCAGAAACTATATTCTTCAAGCTCTGCGAGTTGTTCACATATTAAGGTTAAAAAAAAAAAGGTCCTTAAGAGCAGGCTTTTGTCAAACAAGGTCAAATTCAGGAAGATGGCAGTGG